GGGGATCGAGCATATAGCCTAACAACAACATGGAGTCAGACCAATATTACTGAAAAAGGGGGATCGAGCATATAGCCTAACAACAACATGGAGTCAGACCAATATTACTGAAAAAGGGGGATCGAGCATATATCCTCAAAGTTAGCGTGACGGCATATGGATCTGAGGGCCCTTGTTTCGCGTTCTTCTAACATGATAACGCGCAACGTATTTTGGGGCTGTGGGTGGGTAATAAGAGTGATGGTCAGAATCCCAATATTCGATTAGAGTAACCCAGGAGTTGGCGGTGGGTGCTATTGACTAGCTACCTTCCATCTAATATATCATATAGTCGTTGTGTAGTACTATAAAAAGTATAATTTTACCTGTGGAGTATTTTCTTTAATTGTTAACACTAGTAATAATGCTAGTACTGAATTGTCTGTCGTATGTTCATTACTTAAATTCATGATGTTAGAAAAACACGTAGGTTCAAGAAGTCTTGATGGAAATGAATAAAAAAGCCTATAACCATGAAGAAGAAAGGTCAAACTTCATCACTTAAATATTAGTGATATGAAACAAAGAGCACAGCTGTATACATTTTCCTCCCAATACTTAAATCACGTTCCTTGTGACGATTTTATCTAGTTGTCCTGAACAGGAACTTTTCTAGCTTGGGCTCCACATTATGAAGAACGTGACTCAATATGTAGAGTTCGAAGGTCAGATTATGGACTTTCTTTATCTAGTTGTCCTGAACAGGAACTTTTCTAGCTTGGGCTCCACATTATGAAGAACGTGACTCAATATGTAGAGTTCGAAGGTCAGATTATGGACTTTTGCGTTCCCCCTAGTGCGGTTGATAAATGTCATTATGAAGTTACGATTCCTATTTTTGTAAGGACTGAAAAAATAATTCTTGGTTAGAAACCAGCCAAAAAAAAATTTGTAAAATAGTTTTTTCGAATAAATATCTGTCAGATGTCATGTACTTTTAGAAAAATGTGTACGTACGACTTAAATAATATATTTTGTATTATACTGAATAAATAAAATCACGATTATGTACACGAACTATTGGCCTTGTTATTTTACAATATAACACTATGTAGTTATTCCGGTAGTAGCCCTGTGGTTAGAGTGCCGGACAATGAAACTTGTGGGTACATATAGTTCGAATCGCGTTTCAGCATTAAAAAAAAAAATCACAATTCTTATCTTGGAGCCGTGTGTGCATTATAAGGGTGGCAGTCAACTCCCACTATTTGATCATACAAGAGTAGCATAAAAATTAGCGGGAGCTGCTGTTAGTTAGCTGACTTCTCTCTAGTCTTATCAGTTCAAAATTAGGGACGGCTAGCACAGAGAGCTTTCGAGAAACTTTGCGCGAATATCCGAAAACGAATTCCAAGAGTGTAAGTGAGGCCTAAAGATTATTCAGTATTGGTATGGGAATGAAGCTATACTATAGCAGCATATAAATTCATCAAATTATACGCTATACGCAGCGGCGTATCCAGGAATTTGTAGGGGGGGGGGACAAGTCTTAACATTAATATTGGCATTTGCTTTTTATTTATTGATTTTTATAATATTTAAACTTTATTACTTCCCGGTGAAAAATAAAAATACAAGCCAAGGGGGGCATGTCCCCCCGGCTACGTTATACGTTAGTTTTGGTTAAATTTGTGAAAAATCAACAAGTAATATTTTGTGGAATAATCACATTAATATATTTTGTTGTTTTGACATGAACATATATATATATATATTGTGATACAGAAAAGAATAAGTAACGAATGAATTATTATATATATATATATAGTATGTTTATTATTTAATACAAACATCCATCGTCACAAACGCCTGACTGAAAACAAGAAATACACACTTAGCCTGAAACTATTAAGATGCTAAATAACAATAATAAAACGCTTTTTCTTTTTTATTTGACTAAATTGGATAATAAATTAGTATTTCCGATTTCTGCAATAACCATTAAATACACATAATTATTATATATATATATATATAACTTCCCATTAATACAATATAGACTTTCATGCACTTACAGTGTTTCCCATTGATTTCTAAGCAGCTTTTAAATGAAACGTGTACGTTATTTTAGCTAATATTATTTAGTAGCAGAATCCAACGATATTTAAGTACAGTTTCGACAACTACTAAATAACACTCTCGCTGATTTTAATATAAGTTAATAACAAATCTCATTCTCGGTGTAGCATTATGATTGGCCTTGTTGGATTAACGAGAACTGATTCTGTTCGAACGTCACGGATTAGGTTTTTTCGGTGTAGCATTATGATTGGCCTTGTTGGATTAACGAGAACTGATTCTGTTCGAACGTCACGGATTAGGTTTTTTCGGTGTAGCATTATGATTGGCCTTGTTGGATTAACGAGAACTGATTCTGTTCGAACGTCACGGATTAGGTTTTTTCGGTGTAGCATTATGATTGGCCTTGTTGGATTAACGAGAACTGATTCTGTTCGAACGTCACGGATTAGGTTTTGTTATCCAAGTGCTATCTGATATGCTTTAGTGTTTCGGTTCTCGTTGTCCCCCAGTGGCTCAGAGGTAAGTTCGCAGGCTTACGACGCTAGAATTCGGGTTTCAATACCTCCACTGTGTAACTTTGTGCTTAACAACATCCAAAACGGTCTTCTTTATCTCTGATTGCTGCATGCTGCTTATCACAGAAATTCTGACTTATAATACGAACTGGTGTCTTTTCTCAAAGTTAGCAGATGCTTAAAGAAATAAACAAAACTTCATGGAGCTGATGTGGTGTAGGATATATATTTTTCAACATTTCGGACCCTTATTCAGAGAAAAAGATCAAAACTAAAAAGATGAATACTTGTAAATATTTTCCGTTTTTTCTAATTCATAGTTTTATTATAGGTATATTTCATCTCAGCAGTTTTTACTGTGGACTAGAAAAACTGATAAACGTCACTTACTACATTTTAAATGACAATAACAACAATATAAAGATGAGTATTAGCTATCATTACCATACATATAAACTTTTTGTTTCTCGGTAAACATTAAAGAAAGATAACACCTACAAGCTGATTAGAAGAAAGAGAGGCTTATAAGGAGTACGAGACATCAAAGAAAGATAACACCTACAAGCTGATTAGAAGAGAGAGAGGCTTATAAGGAGTACGAGACATCAAAGAAAGATAACGCCTACAAGCTGATTAGAAGAGAGAGAGGCTTATTAGGAGTACGAGACATCAAAGAAAGATAACACCTACAAGCTGATTAGAAGAAAGAGAGGCTTATAAGGAGTACGAGACATCAAAGAAAGATAACACCTACAAGCTGATTAGAAGAAAGAGAGGCTTATAAGGAGTACGAGACATTAAAGAAAGATAACACCTACAAGCTGATTAGAAGAAGAGAGAGGCTTATAAGGAGTACGAGACATCAAAGAAAGATAACACCTACAAGCTGATTAGAAGAAAGAGAGGCTTATAAGGAGTACGAGACATCAAAGAAAATAACACCTACAAGCTGATTAGAAGAGTGAGAGGCTTATTAGGAGTACGAGACATCAAAGAAAGATAACACCTACAAGCTGATTAGAAGAAAGAGAGGCTTATAAGGAGTACGAGCATTAAAGAAAGATAACACCTACAAGCTGATTAGAAGAAAGAGAGGCTTATAAAGGAGTACGAGAGAAACAAATAAAAGAAGCTAGTACAGCTTTTGTTAATGCAATTCGTATATACCAAACACACATCAGTTAAGACTACTTTTTTGGCTATTCAGGAATTCAAGAAGGTTTGCGTAGAGTACTCGTAAATTATTTGTTTTACGTTAATTTTACACATTTCAACTGTACAACGTTCACCAACAAATCTGTGCAGTGCAATAACAAGAAAAACTATAATCGTCCAACCCAAGTATTGACCATATATATATATATATATTTATAAACACCTCAACAAAAGTGTAATACCACATTCGCAGGTGGGAATCTCTCCAGTAACTGTTTAATTAAACCTGTCAACTATGTATAGCTTTCCTCACAACCCGATATATGGCGCTGGCTGTGAGTGGAGTAACGGAAGGACACCATTCTGGTACTGGACGAGAAGGTGCCGCTTCTACGGAGCAGGGCTCGCTGTCTGACGGTCGTGTCAGGTGGTTGAACCTCGCACTTTGTGGGGAGCATGGCGCGGAGAGCCTCTTGAACTTCTGTCATGCGAGCCGCATAAATTACAGGGTTGACCAAAGACTTGAGAATAATGAGACTGTTTATGACGATTCCAACTGGAAGGAGAACACTTTCTGGTATTTGTGTGTAAGGAGCTACACAGTCTAGACAGCTGACAGCGAAGAAGAGAACTGCAGGCATCCAACACAGGAGATAGGTACCTAGGATCAGGAGCGTAGTGACCACAGCCTTCACGTTTCGGTGAAACTGGCGAGATGAGGGCACTTGAAGGAGTCTCTGTTGGTGTTGACGAACCACGAATAAGATGTGACTGTAAACTGCGGTCATGATGACCAGAGGCAGAAAGAACAGTGTCGAAACGATGATTCTGAACGTCGAGAGTTGGTAGAACGTGTTTATGCTACAATACGGTGACTGAAAACCTTGATTTCGTACAAAAGAAAAATATAAAAAGAAGAAGGACAAGGAACCGATCCAGATGCCGCTGACAGTCGCTGCAACCGCTCTTCGTGTCACGGTCGCGGCGTAGTGGAGTGGACGTACTATTCCCACGTAGTGGTTTACGGTCAAAGCTAGCAGGTGGTAAACGGATACAGATAGCCCGCCCAGCCGAAATGCCTCCAGAGTCAGGGCGATGCAACGAGTCTGAAGCCGAATGCCGTACACTTCGGGAAGTAGGCTGTTGATCACTAAACCAAGTCCTAGAATCAGAGACGCGTAAGCATCGGCTGCAGCCAGGCTCAGGTTGAAGCAGAGCGTGGGAGAAACGGTTCGACGGACCCACTTTACGGAGATTACGATAACCAAATTAAAAAACATAGAGACTAAACACGTCGTCAGCATGAGCGGAACGACAATTTCATAAAGCTTCCTTTTTTGATGAATTCGCCTCCGTTGAGAGAGTAACGTTTGACTTACTATCATTAAAACTATTATTACCTTCCATGTCTAAGAATTCGTTGAACGGGATTTTTTTGGATTTTTTTTTTGGGGGGGGGGAAAAGATAAACAAATTTTTGCAACAAGCTTTACCTTATTTTTCCTCTTTATGTCATAAAAGTTCTGATATTTATTACTTTAGCTCGCTTAGCAGGAATGCAAATTTGTAGCAAACTACTACCTATCGCACAAAATAAATATTTTCTTTGGCAGACACGAGCCACGTGTCTTATATTTGAACGAGGAGCATCAGAGCGAAAAGAGCAGCGACTAAGCCTGAAATGAGAGAGAGAGACTGGCCTCCAGTACTGTAATATAGCAACACGTGGCAGATGGGCGGGCCTTGGTGGAAATCGTTTTAATCTCTGGTCTCCAGCGTCCTTGTTTGCTAGTGTCGATTGATTGCTTTTCTCAAGCTGACCATGTCTTCAATATTACTACAACGACGACGACAGCGTGATGTTATTACTTAAGTCGGAGAGGGTTTGAACCCTGAGTGTGCCCTAAGGGAGGGGCAGTCTCATAACTGTTGATATTAATATCACGTTACTGTATAAACCTTTGACAATTTCTGTAATTAAATTACGTTCTTCGGTATCTAAAAATCTAGTCACACGTCACACACACAAAGTTAGGATTTCTTCCAGCAGGTGTCGGATTTTTTTGTTAATACTTCAGTATTTCTTTTTTATTAGTTTGATACACAGTTTGGAATTTCTTTCTTTGAATAACATAACGTTTCTTTCAACTAAGTGTGTGTTTTTGTTTTATCAAGTACTAAAAAGAATTACTGTAAAACGACACCTAGAATTAGTAATAAGTTTACGCCTAAAGAAAAAAAGTTGAAATTTAGGAGACGTTCCCATCTCTCTCTTTCAATGACACAAATAGAATTAATTGTCTTTGTTTGTTCGACTCTTATATTAAAAAATAAAATAAAACATCAAAGTTCCATATTTTCACGTACTGTATATCATTATCAAGTACGAACTTGTATACATGGCAGTTTTACTCATTATTAAACACAGACTTTTTTTAAAGTTTTTGGCACGTGTATAAGTGTTATGTTTTGCAAAACATTACACTCCTGAGGATGACGCAAGATATACGTCGAAACACGTAGAGTGTATGAGATTGTTTTCCAGTTTCATCGGGTTTTTTACCACTTTTTATCCTGTACAGTAAGTTATTATTTTAGTAATCTGGAGACTGGAAACAATCTCATTTTTATAGAATTGTGTATAAAATAATCGTTTTTTTTATTGTGAGTTTTTACAGATTTGTTTTTTTAACTAACTTAATCCTTAGCACTAACTTTTTTTTTTCACTTTTAACTCCTTACTAAGAACAATCTTTTCCACCGTTTAATTCATTGATAAGTAC